GAAACAAATGAGGTCTTTACAAGGGGGGCAACTCCCTCGTCTGAATGTTGTTAACAAAGGTATCCATACACAACATAGCTAATTTGGTATTGATTAACTTGATTTAATTATAAGAAAGAATTGGGTTACATACACATTTGGTTTTTTTAGAGTTTGAAATAAAATATTTTTGGTTTCATTTAAAAAAAATTAAATTATAAGCATCTTGTTAACATTAGGTTGTGAATACAGATAAATAATAGGGCAAGATCTCGTGATGTAAGGAGCTGAGGTTCAAACCCCGTCAAAAGAAGGGGAACAAATGACCCCTATAGCGTCATCTCAAAAAGCTGGACAAGTCACTCGTGTTTAGTCAAAAAAGCTGACCAAGTGACACATGGAACGTCACTACAAAAGCCGAACAAGTGACCTTATTTCGTCACCATAAAAAGCTGGACATGTGACCACTAGATCGGATCGTTACTATAAAAAGGGGTACGGGGGTCAATTGACCCCTGGATCATCACCTCAAAAAGCTGTACATGCGACCCCTGGATGGGATCGGTACTATAAAAAGGGGGGGGGGGTCAATAACCCATGTGACTTCACCACAAGAAGATGGAAAAGTGACCCCTTTCGTCGTCACAGAAAACAACAACAAAAGACAACTGGATCTCTGTCAGTAGTCACACAAGTCATAATTCTTTTTAAATAAAACGAATGATATTCATGCACGCTTTTATTCACTACATCTTCACACACTTCGCTTTAAACTTTTGAATAATCAAATTATTTTATACTATAATCTCATCCAAGTAAACGTTTCTTTTAAATCTCAATATATATTTTTAAATTATTTCGAGCATTTAGCTTATCACAACAAGGCTACATTTATTATAATATTAATATTACAGTATAACAAAATAGACCCTAGCAGCCAACACATAACACTGTCAATACATATAGCATAGTTACAATACAGTTTACATACAACTTTTTTTAAAAATACATACCAGTCATAGAAATACAACAGTAGGTAATAGAAATAAGTATTGTAGCTGATCAACGTTAGTCGCTGTTATGTTATAAATATATACCGGTTGCTGTTCAGTGCACAAACAGCCATAAACAGCTGAAGTGATCGGTTGTATTGTATTGAACGCCTGACTGCCCCGACACGGGTGGGTGGGTGGGCTATTGTGTATTGATCAGTGTACAGGTAAGGGTGGTAGATCACGTCGACGGGGTTTAGAATGGCGGAACTCTTGTTTTACGGCTAGGCTACAGACCGGCATGTTGGGGTTACCTCAATACATTCTGTCAAGGAATCGTTGACATTAAATATTTCATATTTCAAGTTGAAAAAAAAAGATGTGCTTTAAATGGTGGTGGGATGTGCGCGATGGGGGGAGGGGGGATATGGAGAGGGGTCAGATTTGTGCGTTGTGTGATGAAGCGTAATTTGGAACCACTGTATGGTTACCATGAGGAAGAATGAAGGCTCGATAATGAAAAATTGAAAAATTATTTGTTATTGTTCTAAAAGATTATATATATATATATATATATATATATATATATATACGCCCCCCGGAAGTTTTTAAAGACCCTCCCGCCATTCCGGAGAAAAATGTCTAAAAGAAACCTTGCTTGTTGTATCTAAAATAGCAATATTAACAGAGAGTGATATTTCAACGCCAAGGGTAGACAAAGGTACAGAAAATAGTCCAAGTAAAGACAAGCAGTCAGACACAAACGGGTTTTGAACCTACCATTCCACACGGCACCTATCGCCATCGCCTTCCATGCATCAAGTCAGACGTGTAACCGCTTCTACCACTAGGTCCTACAGAAATAAGGCTTTCGTGGCAGACCACTCTCTTGGCTTGTGCAGGTAGACGCGGGACGGCTTTGACCCTTGACCCGAAAGGTCAGACCGCTAGCTTTCATAAACACAACAAGGACCATTATTCGACCATACAAACGACACACACACACAAATACCGAGACGATGGCACAGACAAATAGTAGCTTCCTTTAAATGGGTGTAAACGTGTAGGGGGGGGGGGGTGGAAGCAGGCGTTGTAACTGAAATAGCAATATTAACAGAGAGTGATATTTCAACGCCAAGGGTAGACAAAGGCTACAAATATTTTTGCACAAGTACAGACCTACGGCGCAACAGATAGGTTTAATAGAATGCTTTGCGATTTAAATGGCAAGGTTAGGGTAAACAGGGGTCGGCGTGATCGATTCGGTAAAACTCATGATTGCTAAACCGAAATGTCTCGAGTTCGAACCCTCGGGCAGATAAGGCTCGTCAGCTGGGGACATTAACTTTTATAGGACAACTCCGAAATCAAACAACTGCTGCCTTGTAGTTTGTTCTTGGTTGGATAAAGAGTAAAGACCATGGAAGCAAATCCAAAAAGAAGTCTAAAATTAGAGTCAATGAATGGCGCATAACAAATTGTCACGTTATACTTTATTGTGTTGAAGGGGATCTTTTCCTACTTGAATTTAATAAAAAAGATGAAGAAGAAGAAGGGTGCATAACTCCTTGTAACTTGATTGTATTGAGATCTGGGTACTAGTACTTGAGTACTGCCCTCTCCACGACCTGACCACAGTTTCCAGTCGTCTCATTAAGCAAATTAATTGATTGATTTTCCCACTTAAATTAAAATGGCCGCCCTATCGAAATAAACCAGCTGCGACCAATATTGAATATGGAAAAATTATTTGAGTATCAAATTCGCTTAATTGCTCATCAATTTAGGTAGTCCATTAAACATGATAGGGTCTATCACGTTAATGCAATCCAGACAAATTTAGATATTAACATTATTTTTTATTTTTAAAAACTAAGGCGATTTCTGTATAAAAATAGAAGACTATATCTAAATCTACAGCGGCGGAACAACACTACTGACGTTGATTGGCGATTGTGGATTGGTGACTGGTGAGTTAGGAGAGGGGTAAGTTAGAGGGGTACTTGGTAGGGGATCCAAAATAGTTTTAAACAATGAACACTTATGCCTAAACTTATTATTTAAAAAGGAGCTATCGTACATCTTTTCCCCGATGATTAAAAAAAATACTCCCCTCCGTCAACCAGACCCCCTCCCTAAAATTGCAGGTGAATTTTTATTTAGAGTGTTTTAATCAATTTCTGTTACAATTTATTAAAACAGTTTTCTAAAACGCAAAATAACGGCTAAAATTCGTTTTCTAGCATTGCTTTTTACTTTCTCGTATATACGAAGTATAGAGAAAGTATTGTAATCGTGCACAAAAATCACTTGAAATTTTAACAATTTTCACCGTATTACACCTCAGTCCTTCATCACATCCGAAGTATAGAGGACTTATTTTAATCGGGCAAAAATTACCAATCCAGATTTATCAAAATTAAGAAGTTTTATGCGTAATCCAGTCTGAAAAACTGGGCTTTGCAATTCTGTCCGTATGTCTGTGTGTCTGTCTGTCTGTCCGTGTGTAAACACGATAACTTGAGTACCGTTACAACTAGGTTGATGAAATTTCATATATAAGTATTTTGGGGTCATCCATAAATGACGTCACGCTTTTTTGGACGATTTTTACCTCCCCCCCTCCCCTCCGTCACACTTCGTCACAAAAAGCCAGACCCCCCCCCTAAAATGACGTCACACCTCAACCTACAACCCCCCTCAAAATTGCAGTTGAATTTTTTTTAAACATTGATATTTTTCCAAAATTTTGTCTAAAATATTACAATTTATTAAAACAGTTATCTAAAACGCGAAATAACGTCTAAAATTCGTTTTCTAACATTGCTTTTTTATAATGCAAAAATGTGACGTCGCAACATCTGACCCCCCCTCCCCCTCATCACACATCGTCACAAAATTACGGACCCCCCCCTCCCCCCTACGAGTGTGACGTCATTTATGGATGACCCCTTTATCAAAATCGTAGATCCGTATCAACTTTTGAGCGATTCCCAATAACCGGAAGTGGTATTTTTTCTACTTTGAATTTTTCAAAAGCCTATAATTTGAGTACTATTTCAGATAGATAAATGAAATTTCACATGTAAGTAAAAGATCGAATTCTCTACCTTCTGTAAAATTTTGAGTAATTTCCGTTGACGGGAAGTACTTATTTACGCTACTTCCGATTTCTCAAAAAACTAATGTAAATTTTTAAAGTACTAATAATATTGCGCACTATTATGCACTTTTTTATTTGGCGTTCACTTGGTGTGCAATTATTTTGTCTACGAGATTTTATTCTATTTTTAAAACTTTAAGTATTTAAAATGGATTAAAAATCATGTCTATAGCCCGAGTTCCCATCCCCTGTTGTTTTATATAAGAATATTCGAGAAAGTTTAGGGGAGATCACTCCCGGTTTATTTATAATGCAACAGTGTGACGTCACACCATCTGAATACCCCTCCCCCACCACACCGTCACAAAATTACGAGTGTAACGTCATTTATAGACGACCCTTTACTCAGCTCTCTTGAGTTCCTGACTTCATTGCCCTCCCCTCTCTCGGAGAGATGCCTGAAAGAAACACATTCTATGTCTGCTGTTTTAAAACACAATGTGACAAATGTCTATTGGAGTCCAAAAAAAGGCGTTTTTAATATATTTTATTTTTGCTAGTTCCGCCACTGGCTACAGTAGCGTAGCGAGGGGGGAGGGGCGGGGGCGGGGGCGGGGGGGGGGGGGGTGACATATGTCCCTGGGCGCCAACCTTAGGGGGCGCCAAAATGGGTTGGAAAAAAATAAATTGAAAGCTTGAGGGGGGTGCAAATCGAAAGTTTGAGGGGGGGGTGCAAATCGAAAAGTTTGTCCACGGGCGCCGGGAAGGGTCGCTACGCCTCTGACTGGCTATTGGTCTTTGAATTTTTTTTATTGATCTGTCTATCAGATGTCAATATTTAATAGGATTCAAATGTTTCCAAATGTGAAGTGAGGTGGGTGTTTCTTGTATGTTTGACTACTATACGAAACTGACTCTAGATCTATATCTAGTTACTGCAATGTGACACACCTGCAGAACAAAATACTTTTCGTAGAAATAAAAACCTTGCACAGATGGCGCTGTTAAATATGAACCTTTGACCCGTGTTTGTTATTGTTAACACGGTTTACACTAGTTTACAGTACTTTACAGAGTGTTGATTAGTTGTTTTATGTGGTAAGTTATGAGTAGTTATGACTTAGATCTATTATAGACAGATCTAGGTAAAATCACGATATAGCGTCGGTTATTATTCCGGAACTGTACAGCAGTAAAAAACAGTAAAACCATGGCGTAGTCTGTCGAGCCGTTCCGGAAACCACCGGAAATACTGTAAACCATCATTTATTTGCCGCCATATTATTTTTAATACATAATGTTTAAAAATGTGCAAGGATTGATTTTAGTTGCATTTTAAATACTGTTTTGCTAATTATTTTATATTTCTAATTATTTTAAGTGTATGGGCTAATTATTGCTTCTACTAAACATTATTCTAGTTACTCTTACTACTTTTAACTTTAGTTAATCTAATCGTCTTATTTACTAACAGAACAAGAGCTAGTTGTCGCAAATCTTCTGCAGGTTTTTTCTGTTTCTTAAAAAAAAAATTAATTACTACACTCGAGTTTATTAATAATATTTAGATTTTCTATCTGTTATTAATTTTCTGTCAATTAAACTGTAAATTAAGTTAAAACATTAATTTAATGCACTTGACTTCATTTTTATTTCACCGGTCAAATAAACTATGGTTTACAGTAACGAATGTTACCGAAACTCAACGAACATTACCCAATAATTTCCGACGCTATATCGTGATTTTACCCAGATCTAGATCTATTCAGATCTAGGGTAAGACTACCCAAAGGTCCAAAATTACAAGTGTATTCTAGAAATATTTATTTATTTCCGCCTATTGTCACACTGTTTAACACATGATTTTGAGGAGGTATTTTTACTATTTATTTCGACCAATGTTTTAAAAAAAATGTAGTCTAGGCCTAAAATATTTTAATTTTCATTCATACAATGAATTAAAAAGTGTCAATGAACAATGAAATGACTATGAAATTATGAATGAGCAGTGTAACACTAACAGTAACAGCTAAGTTATAACTTAGTTCGGCTATAAAGTTTTATAATTATTAGGCCTATAAGTAAGTAAATATTAATAAATAGCTATTCACTCCCCCCCCCCCCCCCCAGCCTTGGCCCAAGGGAAGCTACTTTTCTCAGAAATCATCTGTTTGCATTAGCACTCAGTGTGACTCAGTGACAACTTACTTAACTTATACCTATGGCCTATAGCCTAATAATTTTAGGCCTATTCTTAGAAATTTAAGTGACAGTGGCTTATGACACAGAGTATGTTGTGATTACTTTAATTTAATATAATTTTAATACTTAGGCCTAACTTCTTATAGTAGACTTCTTATAGTATAGTATAGTCTTAGGGATTTTGGTAAAAAAGCACTAATCATCATATAAAAATAAAAATTACATATTCTTGTAGAGCTCAACAAAATGAAAACAAAACAAAAAAGATTTTTTGTCTAGCTCAAATAGTTTTTTTTTTGCGAATTTTTTTGTGAGGGGTGGAATCCCCTTACTTTTGCATTGGCCAATTGTGACAAGTCATGGTATACCTGAATAAATTGAGCATAGTTATTTTAATTGCATTTGTATTTTGTTCATATTTGCAGAGTTTAGCTAGAATGATATATAGAACTTGTAAATGTTGTTGAAATGAATAAAAATAATACAGAACTTATATTTTTGTGTTGGCTTCCTCCCATAACCCCAAAAAACTGTGTGCTGCGCAAATATGAAAATGTTTCTAAAGCCATATTTTATATAAATACAGCAAATGAAAGAACTACAAAGTTTGAAATCTAAAGTAAATGACTTGAACACTGTTATGTGCATATAATTGCCTCATTATTTTGGGCAGGTGAAGTAGAGTCCATCTTTAAGCCATTATGTTATAAAACTGCTGCGCAAATATGAAAATGTTTCTAAAGCAATATTTTATATAAATACAGTGAATGAAAGAACTCCATAGTCAGAAATCTAAAGTAAATGACTTGAACACTGTAATGTGTCTATAACTGCCTTGTTATTTTGGGCAGGTGAAGTAGAGTCCATATAAAAGCCATTTTGTAATAAGTGAAATGAAGTTATCAGATCAATGTTTTTATGTGTGAATTGTGTATGGATTCTGATTTTCAGCATATAACTATATCTAAGGGTAAGTAGAACTTGAATACTTAAAATTACAGTTAGCACAATGCTAGTGTATAGCAACAGACAGGTAACCTAGATCTAGGTCTGACTCTTGTCAGTCTAGAGTCTAGTCTGACAAAATTGGATTTTTAGGAAAAACATTCTGCAAAACTAGAACTAGAGCTGAAAAAATTAAAGATGGGTATGTAAATATATTTTGAAATAAAAAATTAGATTTGTTTGCACATGCCATAAGAATGCTGTTATTAGTTGATCAAACTTAAAGCAGGAAGATCGGGATGAAAAAATATAACAATGGTGGCAGCGTGACCTACATACAGTGACTACGTTCGGAGGGGTATAACTAATGTCGGAGTCAAAATATCCAAAAACAAATTTCATTTCCAATTACTTAAGATATGTCTGATCAGTAATCTACTCTCATCTAGAGGAATCTTTTAAAAAATCGAGATTCCAACGTATTTGAAACTAACCTTGATACAGAGGGAAGACCAAAGCAGAGACAGCATGCAATCAGGTCGCAAAGCCATTAAAACTAAGGGACAACCACTCTACTTTTTAATTAACCTTAGGAAATGACCTTTTAAACTTAATTAATTACCATAAATTAAAAACTTATTAGTATGCAAAACCAAATCTCGTGTGTCCGGTATCAGAAAGTAATGGGCGATTTCGGGTCATGTTTTTACCGCGAACTCGGCGGATGCCGACAACCCTAATAGTATAGTATACTATAGCTGTACTACAAAACTAATACTAACTAATTACTAAACTAACTAGCTTAAACTGAAACTCGACTTCAACTTCTCCTTTTAGTTGATCTAGACTCTAGATTGCTGCTGCTTTATTAGTGCTAACTTCAGACTTAACTTGGCTTAAGTAAAGTAAAGTTTCCCTTTCAAACCTGATGGTCTATGGGGCAAGTGAAGTAGAGTCCACTTGTTTCTGTGACCTATGAAGAGCATAGGCATATGAAGAGATAGTGTGGTCAGCACTATGCCCAGCCGCCTTTACTTTCCCTAACGTGGTTTAGGTACCCATCAGAACTGGGTGGACTCAGGGACGGTCTACTGACTTGAACCCGGATTCAAACTCGAGACTTACGGGTTAGCAGTCCAGCTCTCTACCACTAGACCACTCCGTCCCACTTGGCTTACTGATTCAATACTGAATTAAGTAAAAAAAATAAAAGAATCTTATTAAAATATTTAGGGCGTATTACATTAGATCTATAGCAGGAATATATAGGACAGCCTAACAATTATTAAAATTTAATTTACAATCTGTAATAGTTAGTTATTGTTAAAAAAAAAAAGGGAGGGGGGGTCATCTTGCATTCATTGTCTGTCATTCATGTGTTTGCACATCTACTGACCTGAGAAGTCCAGTTTAGAGAACTAACTGGCCATAGTGGTTTTAGGGAAGAAATTCAGTGTCACATACATACATGGCCTTATGTGAATACGTCATTTTTTTTTGCATTTTTTAACCTATTTTATTATCAGGTTGCTAAAAGATTACATGAATCACATAAAGTCTAAACTGATCCTAGTTTCTTTAATTAAAATTGAAAATGTAATATTGCTGCTAGTAAACTTAAAAAGTCACATGCCAACAAACAAAAGTTTAAAAACCTATCATTGCACAAATCAATTGACTAGGCATGAAATAAAGAATTTTTTTTTTCTTATTAATCTTAATAAAACATAATTGATCTACAATTTAATGAAGTTATATTTGTAATATTAATGAAAAAAATAATTATTTTATTATCTTTTTCATCCAAGGCATCAGTTTTGTGACTGTTTAGGAAATTAAGTTTTAACAATGGCTACTGCATCACTGGATTTTGGACAGGTTGGTGTTGTTCTTGTAATTGTTTTAGATACTAGAATATTTCTTCTTCTTCGTTTTCTTTATTGTAATGTTTGATGGGATTTTCTCCAACACAGTTAAGTATTATGTGTCAACATATTATGTGCCATATGACCTGCTTACTCCAGTTTCAGCTTGCTTTTCTTTCTGGATTTGCTTCCATCCAAGAACAGAGTCAAAGTACAAGGCAACTGTTTTTTTAATTTTGTAGTTTATTCTCCTAGATGGGTTGTTCTCCCCAGCTTACAAGCCTCATCTGCCTGGGTTTTGAACTCATGAGCTACTGACCTGACCACGCCCACCCACAATATTTATTCTAAAATGTATTATATTGAGTTTAATTTGTACTCTTTTGTTTAATTTTTAAAAACAGATGTTTGTCTACTAGTATTTTACTCTCTATAAAATAATCTAAAAAATATTTTTACAGGTTGTCAAAGAACTCAGAACGTCGTTTGCTTCAGGAAAAACAAAGGACAGAAAATGGCGTGAATCACAGCTAAAAGGGATAGTCAGACTTTTTGAAGAAAATGAAAGCAAAATCCAAGAAGTTCTGTACAAAGATTTGCATAAAGTAAAAATTTTTTTTTTATCACAAATTCAAATTTTCACATTCTCAGCTTTTATACACATTCATAGTGTTATGCAAATGACCTCATGTTTTTCTCACCTGTATGTTTTAGCATAAAGCTGAAGGTGCAATCATGGAGTCTGTCATTTGTATCAATGACGCCATTCATGCCATCAACAGCCTCTCAGACTGGATGAAACCAGAGAAAGTTTGTATTTTTTTTCTTAAACCTTTTTTTGTGTTTTCTTACAATTTGCCTATGTAACAATGCCTCGTTTTGCTTTACCTTTCTATAAAAATTAAAAATAAACGTGATGACAAAAATGTTGAATCTATTGATCTTAAATTAAATTATTATCAATATAACTAAAAATATTTAACCAATTTTTTTATTAACGCTAATTTTAATTCTGTTTAAAATTCATCCTATTATAAATTAAACTCACCAACTACAAAAATAAATTTTAAAATAGTTACCAGTTTGAAATGTGTTTAAAAATCTTATAAATTTAAATGAGTTGTTTAAAATGTTTCCTTTATTCAGGTGGCTAAAGGTGCCATCTACATGATGGACAGTGCTTACGTACACAAAGAGCCTTTGGGTGTCACCCTGATCATTGGCGCTTGGAACTATCCCATCCAGCTGACAATGTTGCCCCTCATTGGAGCCATAGCTGCTGGTAAGCTGTTAACAACAAATTTTAAACTGCTGTTCATTGTAATAACATTTTAAACTGCTGTGCACTGTCACAAATTTAAAGTGCTGTGCATTGTATAAACAACAAATTTTAAACTGCTGCCAATGAACATACCCCAAAATCCTGACACAATTCCTAATAAAAGTTCATTAAAAATGCCAGCTGGACAATTAAACATCATAATTAGATTTTTTTCCTGCCTGAATCATAGTGGGCATTTTTATACAAGCTTATCAATTTTTATTTAACATAGAAATAACACATCATTTATACTAGCGGCATGTATACTATACCATGTCTAGAAAAAAGAACAAGTTAATGTTACATGAAAAGATTTTTCTCATGGAACATGCACACTCACTTGCTGCAAGGGTTGTTTTTAATACATGTCGCAAGTGTAAACACAGTATAAAGCTTTCACTGTCTTGGCATTTAATTTCACCTGAAGTCATTCACTGCTTAATTCTGAGGTGGAAAAATATCTATGATCACATTAGTTTAGTATTAGTGAATTAAAAGTTGCCAGATCAAAACATATATTTTATTTTATTTATACACACCTGAGATAACCTTTGTAGTTGAGTGAAAATAAATAACAAAATATAAACATTTTTTAAAGTAATTTTGAATATTTGATTAAACAAGACAGTTGATTTTGTATAATATCTTCTCTGAGTGTTTGATTCTTTTTTCAGGTAACTGTGCTGTCATTAAACCATCTGAAATGGCTGAAGCCTCCGCAAAGTTTATTGAAGAATATTTGCCTAAATATGTTGATAATGTAAGCATTGTAAAATATTGTGGGTATTTGTTTTAGTTTGTGCATTGTGTTCATTTCAACCTTAACCAAACATGCAAACTGGTAACTAAACAAAGGCAAGATTGGATTATAATAATTATTTTAGCTAGAACTATTTATATCTACTGAATTATATATATTGAATTATATATACTGAATTAGTATGGATTGTTAAACGGAGTATGTAAATTTATGATTGCAAAGTCTTTATCAGTCCTCCTGGATTGGGGCTGTTGGATATTCTCAGTCCCATCAGCTAGAGAGCTCTAGTTCGTTAAAGTAACGGTGGCTGTGTAATGGGTAGAGGTCACCCCTTATAATGGGTCCTTAATTGTTTTCAATTACCAACAGATTAATGCAAACACTAAGCTTTTATAACTGATTTTAAACAAATAGTCAGGTCTGACTGAATATTTTGTTATTTAGTTATTCCAGAGGCTTAAATAACTGATTTTTTAAAACTATTTATTAAAATTTTATAATCTGTTTCTCAATTCTTATATAGCAAGATAAATTAAATTAAAAAAAAAAAAATCTAGTCTCCATGATCTGTTGTATTGTCATCTGAAAATTGAATATGTTCTAATAATCTTATATTCCTTTTTTAAAAAAAAACAACTATCTTGTTTCCGTGTTCTGTTGAAACATCTGAAATTTGAATATGTCAATATTAAGTATTCCCTGTTTGTACTAGGACTGTATCAGGGTCATCAATGGCGCAGTGAAAGAAACAACGGAACTCCTCAAATTGCGATTTGATCACATTTTCTACACCGGCAACAGCATGGTGGGGAAGATTGTCATGGAGGCGGCAGCTAAATACCTGACACCTGTCATCCTGGAGTTGGGGGGAAAAAGGTAAACAAAAATTTGTTTACTACTAGGTTCACAAGGCACCTTTTAATTCAGTGAAAAAAATAATTTAAAATGTTTTTATGATGTTTAAATTAAAAATGTTTATAAAAATAAACTACAATATAATAATCAGTAAATTTAAATGTTAAAATATAAATGTAATTTATTGTAAATGTGTAGCTTAAAAGTATTACAAACTTAAATTTTTTTTCCCTAAACTAAAACTGATTGTATTGACATGCTTATAAATAATCTATAAACATTCAACAGCCCAGTGTATGTGGATAAAGATACCAATTTAGAAGTTGTTGCAAGGAGACTTTGCTGGGGGAAATTTTGCAATGCTGGTCAGACTTGCATTGCCCCAGACTATGTCATGTGTCCCAGAGATATTCAGGTAGGATAGAGCGCAATTTCTTTCTCCTTTTTCATATATCACAGAGTTGCACAGGTAGATAGAACACAATTCCTTTCTCCTTTTTTATTTATTACAGAGATCAACAGGTAGAAAGAGCATTTTTTTTACCTTTTTCATCTGCATTGGCTTGTTTTAATTCTTAAAACAAACATTTTAAACTTAGTTTACCTTTAATTGTATCTTTTCTATACTGAAGTGTATGAATTAACGCATGATTATTTTCTTCTTTACATTTTTAAACATTTTATTTCCGGTTCAAACAGGATGAGTTGATAAAGAATGTGAAATCTTCAATTGAGGAGTTTTACACGAAAGATCCCAAGAGTTCTGACAGTTTTGGTCGAATCATCAACCAACGCCACTTTCAGTAAAGAATTTTTTTCTGTCGCTTTTTTGTTGCAATTAGACTGTTAGAACATTGTATTTCAATTTAAAAAAAAATCTGAAAATAATTACTTTTTTAACGTTAAATACTCTAATTTTTATAATATAATCAGGGTTCGTGCGGCCTCCTGAAATTCCAGGAGGTCTTGGAAAACTCCTGGAATCTTAAAAAGCGTAAAAATCTCCTGGAATTCTCCTGGAATTTGAAAAAATATAAAAACCTCCTGGAATTCTCCTGAAATTTTAAAATTTTTCCTGAAATCTCATGAAATTTTATTAACCCGTGGTTAATTTTTAAAGTAGACAGGCATGTTTCATAACTTTGTCTTAAACTATTGAAACAGCAAAAACAAGTAGTAGTTGTATTTACGGCTCAGGACTAATCGTCAAAATTAATCTTCTTTAGAAAACCCGGAAAGCTGCGACCCGATCAAACAATGCTGATTCGCGTAACGTTTCATTATTTTATTTTATACATTAATTTTTCATAAAAATGGCTATAGAAAATAAACTAAATTTTTCCAGTGGCTCTTTTTTTCGGTTGACTAAAAATTGTTAATACGCTTAATACTAGCTTGCCAAATCGACCAAAACGGGCTGGGGTGGGTGGGGGAAGACACTGACCATCCTACACGGTATGTAACACCCAACGTAACATTACCTCAACCCGCCCCCACTACTCCGTGCCGTGACGCGACAAGCCCGACGATCGTCGCCTTTGATGTTGTGTAACATTCATACGGTGGTTTCATACCCCACCTCCCTTCCCCCTTCACTTTGTGGAGTTGATGTTACTAATCCTTGGGCATAGATGAAGAAATCTTGCCAGACTTTTGTCTCTGAAATTACATAATATTCGTCTCACACGTTCATCGGGTCGGCCGACTAGCCTAGCATCATTGGATTTGGCATCCAAAAATCAATAAAATATCACGAAATGATATTAATTGGTGAAGTATGCTTTATACCTCTTTTAAAGTGAAAAACTCTTTAAAATTTGGTCCATACCCCCCAGTATTTATCCTCTTTCAGGGTCTATCCAGGTTCCTTTAAAAAAACTGCTGTTTTTTTAATGACAAAAAAAATCATAACTTTTTTGTTTATGGTCAGATTTTGAAAATTCAAACTGGTCTGTAGTCAGATTGATAGCCTCTATCCTAATATGTAACTAATATATTGTTTTACTTTTACTGAAATTAAATTTTTGCATTGGCTTAGCTAATTAAATGTATTATTAAGTACGCTTTTTAAAAAAAATGTACAAATTGGGTTTCTTTTTTGTTTTTAAAATCTCCTTGAATTTTTTTTTAAACTCCTGGAAAAGTCCTGGAAAACTCCTGGAATTTTATTTGAACTTTTGAGCATGAACCCTGTATAATAGAATGAAAAGTAGAAAAATGGCATTTTATGAAATTTTGTTTATGTTAAGTTTTATTTTCCTTAAGTAATTTTATTTTTAAAGATTTAAAAGAAATTATCATACTTATTATAGCTATAGCTGTAATATCTTGATTTTGTAGAAGGTTACAGAATTTAAAGAAAGGTGGAACAGTAGCATATGAGGGAGAAGATGATGAGAAGGAATGTTACATCTGTCCTACAGTGTTCAAAGATGTCAAGCTGACTGATCCCATCATGCAAGAGGAGGTTAGTGCTTGCTGGTTAGTTTGGTTGGTTTGAATTTGTTAGTGCTTGTTTGTTGGCTTGGTTGGTTTGAGTTTGTGTGTTTATTGGGTTGGTTCGTTTGAGTTTGTGTGTACTTGTTTGTTGGGTCTGTTGGTTTGAGTTTGTGTGCACTCGTTTGTTGTGTCTGTTGGTTTGAGTTTGTGTGCACTTGTTTGTTGTGTCTGTTGGTTTGAGTTTGTGTGCACTTGTTTGTTGTGTCTGTTGGTTTGAGTTTGTGTGCACTTGTTTGTTGGGTCTGTTGGTTTGAGTTTGTGTGCACTTGTTTGTTGGGTCTGTTGGTTTGAGTTTGTGTGTTTATTGGGTCGGTTGGTTTGTGTTTTCATTGGGTTGGTTGGTTTAAGTTTGTGTGTACTAGTTTGTTAGGTTCGTTGGTTTGAGTTTATGCATATTGGTTTGTTAGGGGTGGTTGACTTGATTTTGCATGCATTTGTTTGTTGGGTCTGTTGGTTTGAGTTTGTGTGTTTATTGGGTTGGTTGGTTTAAGTTTGTGTGTACTAGTTTGTTAGGTTCGTTGGTTTGAGTTTATGCATATTGGTTTGCTAGGTTGGTTGACTTGATTTTGTATGTTTGTTTATTATTGAGTTGGTTAGTTTGAGTTTGCACGTGCGTGTGTGTTGGGTTAGTTGTCAAAATGTAGAATGAATTTAATTTCTGTGATCTTTTAGCAGCATACTTTAAAGCTGGCAATTTAAATTTTTAATATAAAAATTAATTTCCAACTTTGAACAGATTTTTGGACCACTGTTGCCTTTGGTACCTGTTAAAGATCATGATGAAGCCATTGACATCATAAACGGCAGGTGTGTTTTGTTTAATAACATTTCTATTACTGAGATTATAATGTTTAAGTTACAAGTTCTAATACTAAACTCAAATATTTTTTTTACAGAGAGAAGCCGCTGTCGTTGTATATCTTCACCAACAACAAACACATCAAAGATGATTTCCGCCTGAAAACAAGTAGCGGTGCCCTTGTAATCAATGATACAGTTGTCCACGCTGGCTGTAAGTTACTTTGTTGCCAGATTTTTTGTGTGTTGCTAACCATATTGTAATAATTAGGCCTTCTTAAGATAAAATTGTATAATGTGACATGTTTACTAAAACAAAACAAAAAAACGGTTACAAAAAAAGTATCATTTTTTTTTTGCACTTACCCTACATGATTCAATCACTTTTAAATTAATAAAATTAAATACTTCATTTGAATACACTTGCATGTATTTTGATAATTGTTTTATCTTATTGAAATTTCAGTACCTTCGTTACGTATAATATTTTTCCATTTACCCTACATGATTCAATCACTTTTAATTTAATTAACTTAAATACTTCATTTAAATACACTTGCATGTATTTTGATAACTGTTTTATCTTATTGAAATTTCAGTACCTTCGTTACCATTTGGTGGTGTAGGGAACAGTGGTATGGGCTCCTATCATGGCAAGTTTTCATTCGATGCTTTCAGCCATAACAAACCAGTTTTAGACAAGTCTCTCGGCATGGATCAGGTCAATGCGTAAGTTTAAACCAGTTTTAGACAAGCCAGGTTTTTTTAGTCACTAGCTATGGATCACCTCCTTAAGTTAAACCCAGGCATCTTCAATAAACGTTAGATAACACGTTTAGATTTTAACTGTTTTTAAAGTTTTTTTTTATTTAAAAAAAATTAATAAGTTATGAAGAATTGTAGCTCTAATAAATTAGATGCCCCCATGTAATAAAAAATGGGACATCAAGGTCGGAGAGTCAATTACATGATTGCTAATCCAAAAGTTTAAGTTCAGATCCTGGGCTTGAGCCATATGACGTCAAAGAGTCAGCTCAGCTCTAATGGGTACCTGACTGTTGTAAGTGAAATAATTGACTAGGCATGAATCTGAAACTATAATCCCTTCCTTCATATGCCTGGGTCTTAGAAACAGGTCTGCTCTACTTCAACTGCCATATAGACCACAAAAAACGCGATATTGTATTTTAATATTTTAGTTAGTCTGGGTTTGGTGTGTGTTGTAGTGTAATTTTAAGGTCTGTGTTGTTTAATCATGATATAAGCCATACACATTATAGAAAAAACAATACTAATCAGTAGTTGTTTTCTAAATTTGAAACACTGTTTTTGCTTAACGTTGAGTTAATTATTGTTAATTTTTTTAGCCTTCGTTACCCACCATATACTGAGAAAAAGCTGGGCTGGATTAGGTGGATAATGCAGAAGAAGGTGAAGAAGACAGGATTTTTGGGGTTCATGCCCTTTGTGGCCATAGGACTTGTCTTCTCAATGTTTTTTAAGGTAATGTGTTTTCAACATTGTCAGTACACAATTTTATTATTCTGGATATTTGTTTGTATTTAAGTTATGTTTATGTGTTGTGTACAATTAGTATTTGTATATAGGAGTGGCTCACACTAGCAACATATGTGGAACATCAGTAGTCAGAATGGCCCACATTAGTAGTTAGAGTGGCCCATATGGGCAGCAAATTTGGCCCACACCAGTTCGCCAAAGTGGTCCACATCAGTAGTTTCAGTGGCCAACATTAGTAACCAGAGTGGCCCACATTTGTAGGCACAATGGCCCACATTTGTAGTTACAGTGGCCCATATCAGTAGGTACAGTGGCCCATATCAGTAGGTACAGTGGCCCATATCAGTAGGTACAGTGGCCCATATCAGTAGGTACAGTGGCCCACATCAGTAGGTACAGCGGCCCACATCAGTAGGTACAGTGGCCCACATCAGTAGGTACAGTGGCCCTCTTCAGTAGGTTCAGTGGCCCACATCAGTAGGTACAGTGGCCCAGATTGGTAGTTACAGTGGCCCACATCAGTAGGTACAGTGGCCCATATTTGTAATTACACATCAGTATGTACCGTGGCCCACGTAAGCAAATGTGGCCCCACACCAGTAGCCAGAGACAATAACCCATCTAAGAGAGACAACTCCAAACTCAACTGCTTTTTGGTTTGTTTTTGGATGGACAGACACTATGGAAACAAATCCAAAAGAAAAGCAGGCTGATGTGTTAAACTTAACTATGTTGGAGAATATCAGGTCCAACATTACAACTAAGAATAAAGAAGAAGAATTTTTAATGAGCACACTGCTTGTCTTTGGTGTGATGCGGTTGGACAGTAGGGACATTGACTGCTGACTTGAAAGTTTCAGGTTCGGATGCTAGAGTCAATTCTGTAGGAAAAGTTCTAATCCAATCATCTTTGATGGGTACCTGACTGATATTAGGGAAAGTAAAGGCAGATGAGAATAACTCGGACCACACAATACCAAGGTCGCAGAAACAGGTGAACTCTACTTCACCTGCCCTACTCAATTCCAGGTCTGATAAACATTTTTTTTTTCAAATTTCCAGGTCATTGGAGCCAGCCCCACCGACATGCTTGAACAAAAGAACAAGTGAAGGGTTTTTTAAAATTGTTTTTTGAATGATTTTCTCTGTGATGTCAATTTCAAACTATTACTTATTGTGACCAAAATATACTTTTTTATTTACTATAAAACTCAATCTAGAGATGTAAAATCTTACATTGCCATAACATGACCAAATGGACTTGAAAGTAAATTTAAACAAAATACAACAAAATTGTCACATAAAATGTATTTTATGTATGTATGAAAAATGTTTAAAATTTTGTTACAATACCAGTACTTTGTTTTTTTTAAATGCTGTAATAGTTTTAAATAAAAATCAAATTTCTTTAATGTATGCTTAACAGTAAATAATTTAAGGCATTTACATCATTTTGTATTTGATGCTATTTCTGTCAGGAAATCATGTTTGTTTGTAATTTTATACATTGTTTTTTTTTTACAGGATTTAAACAAACAAAAATTATAACAAGTGCTTTAGAATTAGAGCATCAATTTCTAAATAGAAATGATAAATTCTTTTTTCATGGCTATGAAATGATTTTGTCTTTTTGTGATGCTATTTCCTAATTTAAAGAAAAAAGAGATTAATAAAATACAAATACTTATTGAATATTGAGATTTGGTTATATAAAAAATGCCCCAGTTTATTATAAAAAAAAGCCTCTTTCATTTTCTTGTAAGCTTTATATCTATTAATTTCATTCAATTATCAAAATTGTTGTCTGACAATTTATAATAAAATTTCATGTGAATCTTTTTAAAAAAATTGCCTCCTCTAGTTTTAGTTTCTATTTACTTTCTCGTATATACGTAGTATAGAGAAAGTATTGTAATCGTGCAAAAAAAAAAAATCGAGATTTTTACAAATCTCGACGTTTTACACCTCACTGATACGGAAAAACATAATTTTGCAATCTTGTCCGTATGTCTGTGTGTGTGTGTGTGTGTCTGTCTGTCTGTCTGTCCGTGTGTAAACACGATAACTTGAGTACCGTTACAGCTAGGTTGATGAAATTTCATATATAAGTATTTTATCAAAATCGTAGATCCGTATCAACTTTTGAGCGATTTCCGACAACCGGAAGTGGTACTTTTTCTACTTTGAATTTTTCAAAAGCCTATAACTTGAGTACTATTTCAGATAGATAAATGAAATTTCACATGTAAGTAAAAGATCTAATTCTCTACCTTCTCTTAAATTTTGAGTAATTTCCGTTGACAGGAAGTAGTAATTTACGCTACTTCCGATTTCTCAAAAAACTAATGTAAATTTTAAAAGTACTAATAATATTGCGCACTATTATGCGCTTTTTTATTTCGCGTTCACTTGGTGTGCAATTAATTTGTCTACGAGATTTTATTCTATTTTTAAAACTTTAAGTATTTAAAATGGATTAAAAATCATGTCTATAGCCCGAGTTCCCATCCCCTGTAATTTTATATAAAAATATTCGAGAAAGTTTAGGGGAGATCACTCCCGGTTTATTTTAATTTGTCATCAAATGTTAATTGCTTGTGTAACTGAATATTGAATGGAGGTTTTCTGAAAGTTATTCCTAAAATCAATGGATGCCCAAAAGTTGAGACAGATGTATGAATTTATTTTGCCAAGTTGCTTCCTACTCATCTACATTATATTTATGAAAATTATTTTAATCTTTAACGCGGATAGCTTTGAACATTGGTAAAGCATTAAAATAAACTAAAAAGTAAAGAATCCTCTTTAGAGTGAGCTATCCATAGAATGAAGTAGAGTTCCTAATAATGTTTCTTGACCTCGGCAATCAAAGCATTAAAATAATTGAAAAAAATAAATGTCTAATTGAAAAACTTATAAAAACCCTTTTATTTACTAATAAAATTATTTTTATTGGCAAAAATGCAAATAAATTGACAACAAAATGGTGCATAATTCTGATTAATTTACATAATTAAAAATAAAACATTTTTCAGTAGATTATAAATAAATTGAAATCCTTATTTTTACATAAAAACAAAAGCATATTACAAAAACCTATAGCCTGTTCAGAAAAATAAAAAATGAAAACATTTTTCCGATGAGTAAATAATCACAAGAAAATCTTTGTTAAAAAATTATCATTTTAAGGAAGATAATGAAACAGATAACATTTTTAAGATAAATAAAATGTAAGTTAAAAGGTTAAAACTGTTTAAAAAATGTAAATAACAGGGAATCACTTTGAATACAAAGCAGAACAAGTAAATAACTGGAATAAAGCAGCCGCTAAGCTTAAAGTAACAACAACAAAATCAACCAGGACTAAAAGCTGGTATAAATAAGTTTTGATATTTCTCATAAAAATTGGTAAGCTTCCTGATTGAGCAAATGATTTTTTTATAACAAGTGATAATACTTAGGGTTCATATCCAGCTTGCATTCTTGACATGGGAACTCTTTAGTCAAGAAAGGTTCATACCTAAAAAAAAGATTGGTATGTTAATCATAAAAAAAGTACACACATTTGAAATTCATTCTTACAAAAACAAACACCCATAATTATTTATAACACGTCTACATTATAAAATTATTCTTAAAATTAAATTTTTTTCTTTAATTTAAAATTTTTAAAAATAAAAAATTGTTGAAAAAAAAAAGTGAAATGAAATACTAACCAGAAATTAACAGCCAGGTTTCTGTGTTCTGTTGTGTTTGGCTTTGACTGGACTTCATGCCACCAAAACGCTGGCATAAACAGAACATCTCCTGCTTGTATTTTACAACTTAGAGGTTCTACTTCGGCAAATTTTGGGAATCTCTGTGGAAATACACATTTTTTATCAATGTATGAAAGAGCAGATTTTTTTTTATAGCTGTATAGTTAAAGCTATTAGATGTTTCCCATTGGAATAGCATACATACAAATTTTGTATGTAATAATATTTAACAAGAATAAAAAAACATAAGAAAACATTTATTGCAAATTAGAACAATATTGGGACATTTCTGTGGAGTATGAAGCAGAATTACATCCCTTCTTTTATGGTTTCTTGGGTAATAAACTGACTCCAACATTTATTTGTATTAGTCATTTCTCTACTCTAACAGGAAAGTATCCAAATTTGTTACCTCAAAGTTAGGATCAGCAGGGTCCACAGGGGACATAACCATTGAAGTGCTCTCTAATAAAGTCTTGCGATGGAATGTGTGAGTTGCTGCATCATAAGATAGTTTGGCTTCTTGTATGTGAGCCTCATACAACTTGGTGTTGTCATGGGGTTCATAAAGAAGTAAATGTTTCTCTCCGCTGATCTAGTTAGCATTAGAAAATAAAATTATGTTTGAATTATGTTTATTTGTATGTATGTAGTGTTACTTAAGATATGTAAAAAAATTGTAACTGAGTGTGGATCCAACAGGTGTATGGTATATACGGTGATCTTAACAAGCTATTAAAGGTATCTATTCCACCAGAATACAAAATTTCTTACATATCTGTATAAATCGACAAAAACTTCTAGCATGTATTATGGGATGTATTTTCTTACGTTAGAACTCAAAATTCATAATTACAATTTTTAAAACTGGAAAATAAAGTTCAGAATTTGATTCTCTATACCTCTTGACTATCTTGTTTCTTTCTTTAAAAGCTAGGCTATCATAAAAGCAAATTAAAGGAAAACAATTGCAACCTAGTTTATTGCTATTTCACAAAAAATGTATGACACTAACGTTTTTTATTACTATGTTCCACTCACTAGGATTCACAGGGCAAAACTTAAACAAGGATCTTTTTTTTCCATTCAGGCTATGAATATTTACTAGATTGACTTTCACATTCTATTCTACATATTTGGAAAAAAAACTTTCTTGTAATGAATAGAGGCCTATTTACCTGACACAAAAAGTTATCGAACGGGTCGAAATGTAACTTTCCCAGAGTATTCCCATCACTAAGCCAAATGTTTAAGTGCTTCAGTTCTAGGACATTTAAAAAGAAATCCATCTCTGTTATATCTTCGGCAAGTTCTGGAAAATAATCAGAGATGGATGAATATTCCAAATACGCTGACATGTCTTTAACCCTTCCTTCAGATATGTTCTCCATCAGATCCAAAAACTCTGAGAATTTTATTTCCATGCTAGCAGGGCGAACAACAACTAGGTCGGAAAATAGCAGTTTTTCTTGTACAGACTTTGGAATGGTCAGGCTTTTATAATCCTCCCAGAGTGTTATAGGCTCAACTCCTTCATAAATACCATCTGGGGTCATCTTAATATGTACTTGACGATCCCCATACTTTTGACGCAAGAAGTCATTGGTCCATTTTTTAAAAGCCTTCCAATGATATGTAGCATTAGTGATAATCACAGGCTTTGAGAGAGAGACATACTCATGAAAAAATTGGAATGATGAAGGTGCTGGAATTCTTTCGCATTCTTTATAAGTATTTCTGCTTTTATTTTTCAAATACTTTTGATGTGATCTAAAATCTGTATTCTGCTCACAATAATATTGCGTTGAATCTTGCTCATTTTTTATGTTATCCGGTTTCATGCAGCTTGTAGGTTGTTCTGTTTTAGATGTTTGATAAAGATTCTGCAATATATGTTCCCTATGAATGCCAGCAGTATTGAGAACACCTGTTTTGGTACGAAATGTGTGACAGTAGCCATTAATATGTGTTACAACTGTTTCAACTGGTACTAAGCCATTGGATGAGCGAAAAGTTACATAAAGTGGTGAGGGTGTTACAGTTTTTAAGTTAGGTACCAGTAAGCAAGTTCTATCTTGTTGAGCACGTTTAATTATGAGAATGGAATTTTCGATTTCTATCTCATTGGGTAATTCTAAAGCTTTTCCGTTTGGCCATACAAAATAATGAAACTTAATACTTCCAAGCAGGACAGACGATTCGTTCGTGAAGGACACGTCAGCCAAAAGATGCAATAATTTTTTACTGAGGTCGTCAGCTAGCGCCTCTTCTGGAAACAAGACAAGACAGTGCGATTGTGATGCTTCTAAAATATCTTCAGGTCGAAATAACGGTGCAGTTTTCAAGAAAGCTAATTGTAATGTTGCCGAAAGAACAGCATAAATTAATAGAAGGTTGTTAGCAGATTGATAGACGTGATGGATGTTTTTGGACGCCATTTCTCATTTGTATAGTTTTGAGAGTAGTCTCCCTTGCCATAGCAACCAACTTATTTAAAAAAATTCGTCCAACGCTATAGAGTCCTTTCATATGACGTCACGTCCGTTCGTGATACCTACGCCGCCGCCACAGTGGTGTACATCAGACGTAAACACAATCAGCTGTTCGCCAGCGCTGGACGTGTTCACCAGCGCTGGACGTGTTCGCCGTATGTAAAGAATCGCGCCCGCGGAAAAGGAAAAATATGTTAAAAAACTTGAACTCTTAGGAATTGAAGATCCTTATACTGTTATTGACAGTTTCGTAGATAATATAAATATGTGGCCAAAATTTCTAAATAAAAATACTGTTAGTAATACTGTTTGCGTTTAGAGTTTAAGTAGACGAATCTGATCAAATGCAGTTCTCGATTTTTTGTTTCAGGTAAGGACAGTAAAATAGTAAACTTCATTTTAATTATAAAAGATAGGCCTAACTATTAATAAAAGACAAAGTCAAAAGTAATAATAAGAAGAATAAGATCTAATAGTAGGCCTAATAATAGTGTTTTAATATCTAGATCTAGATCTAGAATCTAGCTCTAAACATGGCGTAAACAAAATTCGGACCACAGATCTAGATTCTGGATTTAGTGTGACTGACTCCGCTGGGTAGACATAGAATCTAGAATCTACTTCTTTACTTAAATTTAATTACAAAATTTAGATCTACATTCGATTCAAAATACACCCATAATAAATCAAAAGTAGTCATAATAGGCCTAATAAAGCATTTAATTGTCTCTAAGATCTAAAATCTCGCTCTATAATCTAATCATTTTTTTAGCAAACGAAATTTTCTGAAATTGAAATAGATTGTATGACTAGACTTAGATCTAGAATCTGCTACTTAAATTAAATTGTAAAAACTTTATACAAGCATGTAGTTGATATTACTGTAGTAGAAGGCTTTAATAAATTACTAAGGCCTATCTACTTTGTTTTCTTTTTACAGCAATATGTATCCTGATACTGGACTGAGTTTAATTAAATTCAAATAGATCTATAGTAATTGTTCTACTAAGTTTTTGTAGCCTAGTAGTACAATCTAGATCATACCAGCCAACAACAAATAACCACATTATTATTATTTTGGTTAATGATTAGGCTAATTTTTTTTTTAAATCCACTGTTTATAAAAGAAACAAATCAAGCTACAAACATTATAAGTGAGATGGTTTAGAATAATAACAATGGACCCAGTCTACAATTGATATAATTGCAGGTCTACATAGGGCCTACAGTCTAGTAGTTTACAGTAGGCACCTAGTGTGTAGCTAGTATACTAGTGTGTAGCTTTCCCCTGATAAGCCATGTGTGCTATAAATGACATAACATGACATCGAGGTGAGAAATGTTGAGGGGAGAACAGTGGGACTTTCCCCTTTGTTCTCCCTGCTGGGCCCTGAGGGTCAAAATTATATAAGAAATACTATCTCTGTGGGGCTGGGTATCACGGAGGTGAGACATTTTCAGGGGAGGGCAGGGAAGACTCCTCTTTGGTTTTATTGTGGGCTAGATACAGGTGGGGGCAGCCATCGTGAGGGTTGAACATCAGTATTAATGTGTCTGATCACTTCCCTGCTGGATTATAAGAAGGTCTTAAATTGTATAACATGCTACCCAGATTGGTTATTACCCATGGATTATATTAGTCGTTGAAGTGTGGGTTTTGTAGAAGTTAAGTGGTCTCACGTTTGCTACAGTAGATAACCTATAATATATTACTGCATTTGATCAGATTCGTCTACTTAAACTCTAAACCTAAACGGTATTTCTAACAGTATTTTTATTTAGAAATTTCGGCCACATATTTATATTATCCACGAAACTGTCAATAACTGTATCAGGATCTTCAATTCCTAAGAGTTCAAGTTTTTTAACATATTTTTCCTTTTCCGCGGGCGCGATTCTTTACATACGGTGAACACGTCCAGCGCTGGTGAACACGTCCAGCGCTGGCGAACAGCTGATTGTGTTTACGTCTGATGTACACCACTGTGGCGGCGGGCGTAGGTATCACGTGATTTAGGTCACGTGTTTGCAAGGACTCTATATACTATATCATTTTTGGAATATATTTTTCTGTATACGACTTTGCCGTGGGTCTTTCAATTTTACACAGCTACTTAAAAAAAATTACTACAGATCTTTAATATAATAATTATAACGCAAATACAATTACAAAATATTTTTTTGTGAATAAAATTCCTAGATTCTTGATATTTTGGATGACATTGTGAAAGTCCGTTACTTTAGACAAAAATATCAGGACTACTAAAGTTAAAAGCTTAATTATTATAAAGACTGAAGGGTTACGGTTTGAGGTGTAGTGAAAGTGAAAGCTTGTGGAGAGGGGGGGGGGGGGGAGAATGATATATGACTTCCATGACCTTTTCGCATTAATACTAATGGGCAAATAAATATATGTGTCACTAGGCCTACTTAGTGGGAGTAAAGTTTGGCGGCGGGCAAACAAAAAGCAATTAAATCAAGAGTACATAGCTTGCGAAATATCTCGATAAAGCCGTGTTGTGATAAGGCCCGTACCGAGACAAACGCAGGCCTAAATCACCGTCGTATCGGGAAAGCTTCCCAAAGATAGAAAAAAACATTAAATATAATGGAAGCGCGACAACTCTATTTGTTCACCTTGGACTTCTCTTATCTCCAAAAAAAAAAATCAATCACATTCATAGAAATGTTGTGATGGAGATCTAAACTTGGAAATGTTGTAGGCAGAGTTTCTTCCAGGCATCTCGTCGGAGGAGGGGGGGGGAGCCCTCCCGAAGAAAGTTTACCGCACCCCCCCCCCGAACGAAAAAATTTTTATATAGAAAATATATTCTTTTAACAGTGTCCGCCTCCACCCCCCGAAGAAAGTCTACCCCCCCCCCCCGAAAATTTCAAGTGCCCCAAGGAGAAAAAAAGTCTGGAAGAAACAATGGTTGTAGGCCGGCTAGCAGTTTAATACCTATTTTGACGTATTTAGTTGCTCGTTTTATTTAAATTTGACAAAGATTTGTAGTAAACAAGTTAATATAAAGTCTAGTGACAATTTAAGCGCAATTTCCTTAATTAATTTTTTGTGACCGAACGAAAGGATATTTTTGAAAACTTTTTTCGGCAATATTGTTCTAAATTATGGCAAAAAACGATTGGTAAATGTTTTAAGTCGCTAAGTGGTCTGGTTGCCGAGATATGGGCCAAAAACTGCATTTTTCGAGGTTTTTTGGCTTTTCCGGGAAATCCAGGAAGGAATTCCGGGAATTTTTTTGGCCCACAATCATCCTCGGAACTTGCTTAACATATTTGCTTTTGGAACTAGTCCTCGATATTGCTTCGTTGAGGAGGAGATACGACTTAAAGCTGCGGACACACATCCATCCATCCATCACCAGAAATGACGAGTTAATAATCGCAATTGTTCAGTATGGAAATTGCGCTAAAAATATAGCTCAGTGTTTTAAAGTACTGCTTTTATAATATGAATTAGAGTAATGCCTGCCAGATTTAGAAGAAAAAATGCGGTCCTCAAAATTTCGTGTTCGATCTCTCACATACACGCACATACATTTTAATAACAGTTCCGAAAATTCTTGGGATATTCCAGACTGTCCTTGGGGATTTTATTTTTTTTTAGGCAAAATAAACACTTCCTGTGAGGTACGGAGCAAACAATGGCAGATTAAAGGGAATTAATTCACGGATCCTTTTTCTGTAAGGTGATATCCCTTTACTAATAAAAAACCAATTTCATTTTTGGCGCATTGAGCTGGTCAGTGTATTTGATCTGTTTAGCTGTTTAATTATTCATTAATTGCAATGACGTGTAATCAATATTCTGTATTGTGATTAATATAGAACTTTGGCAGAAGCATTAAAATATTGAACTGAGGTATAGTTGATAGAATCGCCACATGCTCTAGGCGACAACGACCCTCAAACCAAGATAGACTTTTACAAACAGGATGCCTTTCAGATATTTTCTCTGGGAAAAGTGAGGGGGGGGGGTAGGCGGACACTGGCTAAAAAATATATTTTCAATTTAGGGCTTACGGGGTTGAAAGAGGGAAGGGGGTAGTTTCTGTCAGGCATCCCTTCGAGGGGTAGGGGGTGGTGCCAATGAAGCACTTCTACCCCCCCCCCCTTGAAAAAAAAATAGAAAAACTATATTTTATATAGAAAATATATGCCTTAACCGGTGTCTGCCCCTCCACCCCCCACTCAGAAGTTTCAAATGCCATCCCCAGAGAATAATGTACAAAAGAAACACTATAAAGGAGGGGGGGGGGAGGCAATTCGAAAACTTTACCTCAGACTGGAGTAACCATACAGCAGCCTTTGTGTCTTTCTTTGTGTTAGCAGAGAATCAGGCTAACTACTTGTAATAGATTGAAATAATTGTGAGGTCAAGGGAACTCACTCTTCTGTATTAGTTATATTTATAATATTGTTATCTTGAGTGATGTCCCTTGGCATTGTACTTCCGTCCTTGCCGGTTAACAATTAAAGCTGTTTACATACTCATGGCTTCTGTCTCCGTTGTATTTATAATCTACCTCATTTGGCGACGAGGATAAACATCTACTAGAAAGAGCACCTACTTACGCAAAAAAGAGGTTTGCTAGAGCTTATTAGCTAATTATTTCTAGAATTATGGCGCTGTGTGGCCAAATAAAAGAATTTGATGCGAATGATGAAATCATTCAAGATTACCTAGAGAGGTTAAGCTTTTACCTAGAAGCTAACGACGTGACGATAGAAGCCAAAAAGAGAGCTGTTTTGTTAACAGTCATAGGGCCTCAACAATTTAGGCTACTAAAGGACTTATGCGCACCAGCTAGTCCAGATACCAAGAGCTTTAACGAGCTGAGCAAATTGCTAACAGACCACCATGCGCCTACCCCATCAAAGTTTCTATGTAGAGCTAGATTTGACAGTAGGACTCGTCAACCAAA